CTTTTGGTAATGGAGGCAGAATCAATGGCAGTTAGAAAAGCACGAAATGAAGGTGTGATGCTTTCATAGGACAAGGAATGGGCAATACGGTGCTTAGTAGTACACGATCTAACACCTTTCTATGAGCAATTGGGACATGAAGATCATTAATAGAATCATCAATAGCAATTGGCTCAGTAACATCAAGGGGAACAAGGATACCTGGATCCGCCTCGAAGGAAGACAAATGATGCTGAATGCACAGTTTCTGACTGCTCCACACCCTTTTAACTTAGTTGTCCCTTACGATGCCTCAGGAAAACATGAAATGAAGACGAGTCGGGGATAAAAGGGAGAGGAACTTGAGAAACTTGCCTCTCCTCCTCCACACTATTCTCCCCTTGAGGAGAGGCTTTGAAGAAAGATTTAGACTCAAAAAGGACACATCCATCGATACAAAGTACTTATGTGTGATAGGATTAAAGCATTTGTAGCCCTTTAGGGAGGGTGGGTAACCAAAAAAAAAATACATGGGATAGACTTGGGGTCCAACCTACCTTAGTTTGGAGACAAATCATGAACAAAGCATTTACGACCAAACACACGTAAGGAATAGAAAACAAAGGAGATTGAGGAAATAGGAGCTGATGTGGGGCCTTGTATTGTAAGAGACGTGATGGCATGCAATTGATAACATAAGCTACGATAATCACAACATCAACCCAGAATTGCTTGGGAAAATTCATGTGTAACATCATACTATGGACAACTTCAAGAAGATGTCGGTTCTTCCTTTTTGCAACACCAATCTGTTGTGGTGTTTTGGAACATGAGCTTCGATGAGGAAATTCGTGAGGTGTAAAAATTCAGCTAAGTCATGATGACAGTATTCTTTCGCATTGTCTGATTGGAAAATTTGTACTTCAACATGGAATTGAGTTTAAACCATGCGGTGAAAATCTTTCACAATTCTGGGCACCTCTTCTCAAGAATGCATAGGATATATCCAAGTGCATTTGGAATAATCATCAATGAAGCTAATAAAGTACTTGTATCTTCCCTTAGTGGGTATGTTATTTTTTTTAACCCCAAATTGTACTCCTGGTGGAGGGGTGACCACCGTAAAATTTTATTAAATTGTGTAAATAAAAAACCTAGGAGAGGGGGGGGGGGTGTAAAAGCCTTACTCCTCGAAAGAAGCTAGGTACACCAAGATCTACATCTACTATGCAATACAAATAGACAAAAAATAGTAGATCTCGAAAAGATCTTCAAACATACAAAAAAGGGATACCCAAACCATCAAATTTGAGAAGATGCAAAACCTTTGGGGGAAGATCCTGTACATTGTTGAAAAAACCTTGCGAATGAGAATCATTGGCTTTTTTTTTTGAAAGCCAATAAGCAACCTGATTAGCCTCCTGGAAAATGTGTACAACTTCTATATCCATACTCCCTTGAAAAGAATCCAAATATTCTCGCCAATACCAAAGTCTCCAAGGAAGAGCATAGCGTCCATGAGTAATCTCGGCCAGAACTTGGGAATCTATTTCTACTATGATCTTTGATATTCCCAAGGATCACACAAGCTCAAGTCCATCTAGAAGAGTGTTTGCCTCAGCCAAGAGATCGGAAGTGGAACCATAAAATTTGTAAAATGCAGAAACAAAGTTGTTTCTGCCATCTCTTATCACTCCACCCCTCCACTTGGACCTAGATTTTCTTTGGCCGATCCATCTACATTTTGTTTAAAGAAACTAGGTGGAATTGGTCGCACATGTACTACTTGGGGAGGTTTTCTTGTTGGACGCCGAACCTGAATATTCAAATGGGTAAGAGCATTAATTTGCAATGGAGCAGAATTAGAGGTAACTTTAATGAAAGGGCTGATTTCCTGCAGCCATTTTTTGATTTTGAAAATGATCTATTGAGTGCATAAATATGATCCCTCCATTTTTCTCTTACATCTTTCCTTCCATCTTTCCCATGAAAAACTGGCCAAGGCTTGTACACAAAACGTCCATTGGTTGTGCCCATTACCATGCATTGTTAGCCACCTATGGAGCACAACCCTGACAGGTTCATTAGGGAGAAAAGTGACTCCCAACATAGAACTAAAATAACCCCAAATTTTCCTTGCCATGCAACTTTGAATAAATAAATGATCCATGGTTTCTATCGAAGGGTCCTTACAACAAAAACATTTTGAGGCCATCTGAATACCCAGTTGTTGTATCTCACTGTCAACTCCAATTTTGGCTTTCATCAATTTCCAGACAAAGAAAGAGACTTTGGTTGGCATATTTTTGTTCCAAACAGCTTTAAACTAGTCCACTTGGGGGGCTGAGATTCTCAACCGATTCCAAGCAGTTTGGTTGAAAAACCTCCATCACTACTGGGCCCCAACATCAGAAAACACAACACTCAAAATTGGAATTGGAGGGTGTAACTGTAACCCATCAAAATGAAATTACTAGAGCATTTTTGGTACATTTTAAGTGTATTTTTACAAGATCCCTAAGTGAGAGAGTAAGGTTAGATGGATTGGATTGACCTAGTTTATTTGAAGTTCATAAAGGGTGGTTAGAAGCCTGCATAAAATGATTTTCAAAGGGTTTTCAATGAGTTCTTTGATAGGGGGATTATAAGTCCAGGTTTAAATTCCACTTTCATTGCATTGATCCCTAAAAAGTTGGGGGCAAACCATCCTAGGGAGCTTAAGTCAATCAGCTTGGTTAAAAGCCTGCATAAAATCATTGCAAAGGTGCTTTCTCGAAGGATCAGATGTGTGCTTCCATCTATAATTGCTCCAAACCAAGGAGCTAGTATGCATGTTTGATTTGGCCAACCTGCTTGTCTGTTTCCTCTCGGTATTCACAATTCCAGTTGGGGTCTATAAAACTTTAGGGAAACTAATGAGAGATTTTCTATGGGAAGTTGGGAACCAGGGGAGGAAAGGAAGGATCACAGGGTTAGATGAGAGGTTGTAAGTAGAAGTAGGTATGTGGGTGGACTATGGGCAAAAGTGATAGCATTCATGGGCTGGCGATTGAGGGTTGGGATGTTGGAGTATTGTCTACTAGTGCTGCTCCTTGGAAATCCATACATACCATCCTTCTTTCTTGCCTCTCATCAGGTACAATCTTTGCTATAGAGACCTGGTAAAATTTTGGGAACATCTTTGGGTGGGGAGTTTGCCTTTAAAAGACCAATTTCCTTCTTTGTTCTCTTTATCAATTTATAAGAATGAACCTGTTTCCACTTTCTTGCCTTCTGTTGGAAAGGGCTTTGAGCTTGACTGGGACCTGGGTTTTAAAAGGGGAATTAGGGATTCATAGTTAGACAATGCCTCATCCTTGCTTTTAATCCTACACAAGGTTTTTCTTGACCCATCTAAGTTGGACTGCTGGATTTGAACTCTGTCCTCTTCTGGTTTGTTTACTTGTGCTTCCTTTTTCAAAGCCTTAACTTAAAACTCTGATAGCCTTGGACATCCTTTTCCGGATAAGGAATTTGGGGGGAAGCTGATTCCTTCAAAGGTTGGGGCATTTTTGTTGGGAAGTTTTCTTGGGAAGAATTAACATTTGCAATTTGCTTCAACGAAAGAAGCCTTTTTGGTGCTTATCTCCTAACTGGTGCATCCTTTTTAAAGCTAATGGTGTGTCTTGCTACCACTTATTAAATGCCTGCCCATTTGTATCTTTTATTTGGGAATAGTTTTTTTCTTTGTTTGGTTGCAGGTGGACTCCCCCACCAAATGTACAAAGCCTCTTTGATTCTTTTGTTGGTAGCTAGACGAAGAAAAGGGGAAGAATGCTGTGGAGATGTACGAGAGCTGCAGTTTGTTGGACTATTTGGGAGGAAAGGAATCAGAGAATTTTGTTGATAAAGAAAGGAGCAGAGGGGCAATTATTGAGGTAATTATTGCACAGGTGATTCAGTGGTGAAACCTATGGCTATATTTGATGGCATTCCTACTATGGTACTGCTGAATAGTTGGAAAGAAGTGCCAGCATCTGCTCCAAATAAACATGTTTCCAGCCCGGTGTGGTCTCCACCAGATGCAGATTTCATAAAGCTTAATTTTGATGGCAGTAGTGAAGGCAACCTTGGGCCTTCTGGGATCGTAGGAGCTTTTAGAAAAGAGGTTGGTGCTGTAATAGCAGTGTTTTTAGGGCCAATAGTTGTAGGAGACTCCCTACGAGCTGAAATTCTGGCTGTGTTGGAAGGGGCAAAAAAGTCTTAAGGAACTGAATATAAGCAGGTTGCATATTGAAGGGGATTCCAAAGTAGTGTTAGACTGGTTAAAAAAGGAGGAAGATAGCATGTGGCAGTTTATCAATGAAAGAAGTAAGTTCAAATGGTTGATTCATGGAATGGAAGTGAGATTACTATGGGTCAAAAGAAGTACAAATTCCTTTGCAGATGTACTTGCTAAAGAGGGAGTGGGAAGGGCCCAAATGTTCTGGGCTACTTTGTAATATTTTCTGTTTTCTTTGGGGGTAGAGTTAAGAGAGTTTACCTCTCTCCAGTTCTGTAATCTTCTGCCTATTATTAATATATTAATTTTGTTATGGATGAAAAAAAGTAGTGAGCTAGTCTCATAAAGGGGATTCATAGAACTTGGGGTATGGATGAAGTGGAAGGAGGAAGAACCACAGTTAAAGATATTGGGTCACATCTATGCTTGACTATGGAAATGGGTGTGTTTTGTTGTTGATTCTTTTTGGTTGCTTGTGCTAGTTTTCTTTTGAGATGATGGTTGGTATATTGAAGTTAGGTTGGGTTGCTTTCTTGGCTGCATTAATGCATTTCATAGCTGGGGCAGGGCCCATCTTCTTTGAAATGGCACATCTGACTTGTGCTATTTTCCCTTTTCTTTTTGGGGCTTTGGCCTGTGTGACTCTTGATTTTAATGTATTTTTTTCTACTTCTACAATCGAAAGAAAAAAAAGGAGGATGCATTCTTATATTTATTTCTGTTTTTTTGATTGCTTTTTTTTTGTCTTTTGGTTCTATAGGCATGGGAAGTTTACGATGAAGCTGGAATTTTAGGATTTTGGAAGGGCATTGTCCCAACACTCATCATGGTTGGTGCCTTTCTTATTGTGGAAAGTAAATTTGAGTGTTATTCCATGGACTAATGTCTTGAAGGTCACCATGTAAACAGGTTTGCAATCCATCGATCCAGTTTATGATTTATGAAACTTCATTAAAATATCTGAAGGCAAAACGTGCTGCTAAAAGGTCATCAAAGAATGTAACCGCTTTGGAGGTAAAGTGCATCTTCTGCAAGAATTCTGAAACAGGTCTAGCTAGATCCAACTTGGTTGAAATGGTGACTGTCCTGGGTACTATGGTGATAAAGTTGCTATAGGAAATTAAATTAAATGGAATGAACTACTTAATTTAGATCTCGTTTTGTGGTTTTAAGTGGCTGTGTTGATTTTCACCCATTTGCCCTCTTTGCTGGTTCAATCTGATTTTGATACATCGAGCCTCAGAATCAGGCCAAACCCCTTGTGGACTTAGTTCTAGGGACTATTTTCAGAAACCAAGGTTTTGTTTGGATAAGCTGTTGCTTTTGTGTTTTTTAATAGAACTAAAGCTTTTGGATGTAAGAGCATAAATAAGTGTTTGGTTGTGTCGTATTGCTTTACCACAATTGATATGGAAAAGTCCATGTGCCAGCCTATAATGTGTGCCATGTTCATCTTGCCATTGGCAAGTCCACATGTCTTCAAAGAGCCCATCCCTTTAAATCAGCCTTGCCACATGGTATGGATAATAAAATAGTTGTTCAAAATGACCATACTTATGTTGCACAAATTAATAAAATCCCATGCATTATTTTGCCACATGGCATAAAAGTGCCATGTGGAAGTTCTAAAATGTGACATAAAAGTGCCTCGTGGCATAAAAGTGACATGTATTTATAGGATTTATAAATATGGCACGTGGGAAGGCTTCACATGTTCACACCTTCCATGTTTTGTGAATAAGCAAAAATGCCCCAAGGCATGCAGTTGAAGCACATTACATCCTATTCTTACTTCGTGCTTTTTATTGCAGAAGTGTTTTTACTTTAGAAAACATACGTTGCCAAACTCTGAAGCAGTTTTTTGCTGCCCAAAACATGAAAGTACTTCCAAAAATCTTATCCAAACACAGCCTAAAATATTGGCCTTTACTGTAGGTGATTGGTATTGAGTTCATTATTTCTCTGATCCATTTCTTCCTTCAGATTTGATCTTTGATAGCATGTAGAACATTGGTGGAATGTGTTGGAGAACCTATGGGATTACTGAAGTTGCCTCTATCCATTATATAATCTTTTCTTGCATGCACAGGTTTTTTTATTGGGAGCCTTTGCAAAACTGGGAGCAACTGTCTCCACATACCCATTGTTAGTTGTCAAGGTAAAGTATCTCCTAATGAAACCATTGATACCCATTTATGTTTTGTAAGATTGTATTCCTAAGCCATAAAGAGGTATCTCGTTGCACTTCATCCATTTATATAATTATGATTATGATGTTCTGTGGTGCCTATATTTATGAACAAAAGGCGATATACAAAATTGTAGTAACCATTGTGGGATTAAACTCATGAGCCACACTATGAGACTTTGAGAGAGAATAATTGCCCAACTTAGTGCTGACACTAACAATTTCCTAATCGCCTTGCAATCTTTGAGGTCTTACAATTTATATACCCTATCCATAGAGTCCAGACTTTCCTAGATACAAAGTCCGCCTGTGATAGCTATTTGAAATGTGGTGGTAGTTGCAGAAGTTCTCATGGCCACGGAGGTCCTGCTGGGGTTGGGGGACATTTCATATTGCTAGAGGTAATCAGGTGGTTGGGTATTCACTATTCAGTGGGCTGATTGGCATGGGAGACTCATCAGAAGCTGAAAGCCTGAAAGAAAAGCCCTTCTCATTGGCCTAAGGATAGCCAAATCTCTTGGTGCAAGACCACTGCTGGTGGAAGGAGATTCTATGGATATGATTGGCTGGGTTTCCAACGTTTATTGAGGCCTTTGGGGATTTGATCATCTGTTGACTGAGATCTGGGAGACCTCAATTGACCTCTCTTGTTCTTTTAGATGGATTCCAGGGGAGCTGAACTCTTTAGTTGATTCTCTTTCAAAGTCAGGTGCATAGAAATTTTCTGTATAGTGCTAATAGTTTACCTTTGTATCTGACTTGTTTTTATATTTGTTTGAATACAGAGTTACCTTTCTCAAAAATAATTTCCTAGTGACCTTATGCTAGATGGGCATTAGTTAATAAGACTGTTATTGTTGGTTTCTACTATTGTTTGACTGTGCATTATCATGATGCTAATGCCTTTTGAGGTTCCTGCTTCAACTATCCTTACCCAAAATTTTCAATGCAGTCAAGACTTCAAGCTAAGCAGGAGATCGGTGGGAATATATCATTAAGATATACAGGTTAGTTGTTTCTGTTATAATGTTAGATTTTTCCATCATATCATCATTGTAATCATTATGGTTGTTACTAATGATACTATTGTTGTTGGGCTCTCATAGGCTCTTAACAAACATTGAAACTGATGAGGTTAATGCATTTGACTTGAATAACCATAGTTGCCTCCACTTGACTTGAATGCTCATAAATTCAGTTGGCAGAAAAAATTGTGGATTTACACTCCATGTTCTTTAACTAGAAAAACATGGATTCTCACAACAATAGTAACTAGAATTAAGATATGCTTTTACAATCACCACCAACATAACGTTTTTTTTAGAGTATTAATCTGTATGAAAAAACATGTCTGTAACAGCTACATAAGAAACCAACCATCCCCAATGTAACTGCATGACAAAATACAATAACCCACATAGATATTCCACAATGACCTTATTTCTCATACGATGCTTACACAAGTTGTATTATTGCTCACCATATTTGTCATGATTTAAAACTTTCACCATCGTCTCATTCCCTCTTTATCTTGAACAAATTACAAAAACACTTATTTAATTATCTTTCTATTGGTTTTATTTTTAGCCATTTCTATCATTAATAACAATGATATCATTTATTACACATTTTTTCTTAAATGTTAATATATAATATTAGAGATATGATCACTTTTTTACAAATTTTAACGACTTTTTTGTTTTTTTGTTTTTCATTTTTGTTACTTAATTTATAACATCACAAATTGACTTGTTTGGAAAGGGAGATGCAGTATTCTGTTATTATACAAATTCATAACCGCATGCGCGTGGTGTGCAATACAGGCACTCTGGATGCAGTAGTTAAGATGATTCGCTATGAAGGATTGCCTGGATTTTATAAAGGCATGAGCACCAAGATCCTACAAAGTGTTTTTGCAGCATCGGTCCTTTTCATGGTCAAGGAAGAGCTAGTAAAGGTTTTCCTAGTACTGGTTGATAAGAACCGGAAAAGAAGTACCAGATATGGTTAAATGGCATCCATCAAAAAGATATGGTTAAATGACATTGAGAATAGAAATTTATAAAAAAAAAAACATTGAGAATAGAATTTATTGTCTCAAGATGGCCTTACAACCCTCTTTTTTGTTCTCAATCTGATCTGCTCGTTTCATTTGCAAGACATTTTCTTGAATAATAGGCCTTATTTATTTATATACTTTTATTTTTGAACATGTGTGTAGTATATAATGAGTAAGAACAGAATGAGAAGATCATGCTTTACTGTAGACTCGTTTGATTCACAGAAAACAAAGAAAACGAAGAAAACAAGGAAAACAGAAAACAAAGACAAAAATGGTAGACCGAATTATGCACAAATGAGGAAGACAAACCAGCAAGAAGGGCTACGAGCCTACGACACCATTCTGGCTACTAAAGCAGATCGCCGATGACCTGGTAGCTGAGGTGGTCACTTGGTGTCCCACTATGGAGGCAGTGACAAGGTCAGTGGACTTCACGTGAACCCTGCTGCCTCTACCCACTTAGCCTTAACCCATCTGTCCATACTTATGTGATATATTCCCGCGTGTGACTCCTACACGTTGAGCGTTTGGGATCTGTCACTTGCTTAGCTGTGTATGAGTGTATCTATGTAACTAATCACGAGTGAGCACGCCAGTGATTCGTACCCATGGGGTCTGTACGGAATTGGCTTGTTCAGTTGTGATTTGTTACATATATACAGCCAAGTGAGCAGCAGATCCAGGCTCTGTCATGAGTGATTTGTGGCTATTCTTTGTCCACTAATTGCGTATGAAGAGAATGAAATGACCTGTGCAAATTGCGAGAATGAATGTCATGGCAGCCGGTCGAGTATCAAGCTGTTCGGGCTGACGTAAAGCTCGAAACTTGACTCGAGCTCGATCGAATTTCATATTTTTGGCTCGTGCTTGATTCGACTCAATACTCGCGGGCTATTTCGAGCTTGGTTTGATTCGAGTTGATTATAAATAAAATAGTATTACAAACAATAAATACATTAATATTAGGCATATTAAAAATATTAATTATAAAAATATATTATAAAAATGAATTTTAAAATCTAAATTTATTTATATATAAATTACTATAAAAAATTAGTGTTTATTTATATTATAAATATAATTATATTAAAAAATAGTATTTTGTTATGTGCTCAATTAGGCTCGTGAGCCACTTAAGTTGAGTATTGCAAAGCTCGAACTTGGTTTCACCAAATACTTGACTTGAACTTAATTACTTTGACTCAATTTCAACTACTTAGTGATTTGAGCTCAAGTAACTTGCAAGTAGGTTGGGCTCATTTACACTTCTACATGGTAGATTAGCTAAGCGAAGAATGTCAAAGTGTTTGAAAGGTGAATGAAATTGCTTCATGTGACAAGACCAAAATGAAGAAAATGCTAAACAACCTTTGCAAATTTCTTTACACTAAAGATGAGGGTGTTTGGTATAGTGGTTTTGTGTTGTTGGGTTGATCAATACACATTTGTATTAGAGACTTTTCTTTTTATTATTAATCTAAAACATTTTGAAAACGTTTTGAGATAATTACAGATTATTATTTTAAACTAAAACATCAAATTGATGTTTTTCTTAACATGTCATGTGATGTAGCGCGATCTAGTTGCTCCTTGCTGAAGGTGATTTGGCTTCCAGCGGACGGCGGACAAAGGTGATCTGCAAGTGGATCAGAGAACCCGGGGTTGCTAGCTCAGCGAGGTCGCTCCGATGTTTAAGTCAGTATACTTGTTGTGAGCTGAAATAGCTTAAGAATGTAGAGAGCCAGAGAGCATAGAAATCACGCGTACCTTGAACCTCCGGGGGTGGAGCCTTTATATAGTCGAGTCCTCGCGGGTTTCGCGGATCAGTTCCGGGATCTTCGTCACGATAGGACCCGTTTCCGCGTTAGTTGAAAGATAACGCTGCCAACCGATAAGGTTCATCACTTCCGCCTGAATCGGTACGGGAGATATTGCTAGCTGTTACGCGGCGTGATCCAGTGAGGCCCGGGATCCGTTAGAGGGGTTTTCGGGATCACCACGTAGTGGCATGTCGGTATCCCCGAGCTAATGTCTTTAAGTCCCGAACTGGGTTGAGTGCCGAAGTGCCTTGGCATCGAGGTGTCCTTGTTGCGATCTGGTACTGAGGCGATCTCATCTCGAGGTGGCCTTGTCCCGAGGTCACTTTAGCTCAGGATAGTTGGGTACCTGAGCTCAATCTGCTGTGTACTGGTCATGATAAGCTGAGTTGTCATCTCTTGATCAGGTCGTGTCCACGTGTCCCCTCTTTACTAGGTCGAGCCAAATCACCCTTCATCAATTGCCCCCACTCCCCGAGCCAGGGGTCCCGACCCGGTGCGGGGAGTTCATGACGAGACAAGTGGATTTGGCCCGAGGTCCGGGTGGCTTGTTGGACGAGTCGTTGGTCGAACCTGTTCGGCTATCCGGCTCAACCAGGAATAACCCAGGTTGCGTCTGGTTCATGCGCGGACGTCACACGATCTACAAACTCCGCGAACGTCAAAAAATGCGCTAAACCGATTTCAACCTTGGGGGTCGCACAACCGGTTTTCCTAGGAGCCGTTGGATTGCCTTGATCTCGACCGTTGATTTTTGGACATACCGACTATAAATAGGGGGCTCGAAACTCATTTTCTTCGCCACAAATTCACAATTCTTCGTTCTGAGGTCGCGTTCAAGCTTCTTAGCTCGGTTTCTCTAGTCCGGTGTCTTCTTTCAGTTCAGTCTTTCTTTGGTGACTCTTTCCTAACTCTTCTTTTCTGATTGTCTTTTCTTCGCAATGTCTAGTTTTATTTTAGATAGTCTTTTAGATGAGAGCAGTGAATCTGCTGGGGCCGAGGTAGGTGCCTCGGCTCAAGTCGTAGATCGCCTTACCGAAGAAGCTACTTAGGGTCAAGAAGCGGTTCGCGGTCCTCCTGAGGTGGAATCACTTCGGGAGGCACGAGAGGCCTCCAGTGGTCTGGTGTCCACCTCGCACCGAGGTCGGCAGCTAGATAACTTTGGCCCATCGACGATGACAGCGGACAGGCTCCAAGCCTTAGTAGCTCGGTATAGGCTTCCGAGTGATCTTGTCTATAGTCTTCTGATAGGTAACTTTCCCTGGGAGCACGGTCACGACGAGATCGTGATCTTCGAGGAACAACTCATGGCTGGTCTTCATCTTCCATTTCACCCCCTAATCGTCGAAGTCATTAAACTCTTTAACATCACCATAGATCAGTTGCACCCGAATTCCATCCGCAACATAGTAGGAACCATCTCGCTCTTCCATGACTATAACCTGCCCCTTGACCTTGACATTTTTTCTTCAATCCTTTCAATAAAGAAGAATTCCTCCTGTGTTCTACCCGAGCACAGGCGGACTTACTACTTGTCCCCACGTACGGGCTACAAGCTCTTACACGAACTCCCAAACAGGGTTCCGACCTGGAAAAGGGGCTACTTTTTAGTCCGTAACACTAAGGGGTGGCCTTTCCCGACCCACTGGAGGGCGGCCATCCAAGATCCCGGTGTCAGGCTGGACTTGAAGACAAGGGAAGCGCTCCAGTCCTGGGCGGAGCTCGATCTCAAGTTTGCAGACTATGTGACCGAAGACAAGCTCGTGCAGGCCGGTTTGAGTCCTGGTAGGTCGTTACTTTTGTGATGCCTTTGTTTTATTTTGATGTTGTTTTTGACGTTTTGCTTTTGTTACAGCAACCATGAAGCTTCCTACGAACGAGCTCCTTGGAAGGATGAAGGGGAAGAAGAAGTGAGCTGTCAAAAGACCTCGCGTTGAGTCTCCACTGGCTGCCATCCCTGAGTCCGAGCAGCCCTCCACTGCGCAACCTCCAGTGATCGATCTGGTCGAGGAGGAACTAGGAAGGGTATCCTCGCCCCATGCGCCTGAGGAGGCAACATCTTCGGAGCCCGCCCCTGCAGCTATCACTTCTTAGGGCAGCGAGGGGGCAGTTCGGTGCATCCTAACTCCGAAGTACAACTTCCTCAAGAGCAAGAGCGCGGTATACGCCGAGGAGGTCGCCAACTGGGCCGAGCTGTCAGTCGCTCAGCTCAGAGCTCGAGCGGCTATTCACTGTATGGTGGTTAGTTGTCTTTACTTATTCAATTCTATACTTGAAAACTCTTCTTGTACTAACTGCTATTTTTCTCTTGGCAGGTGAACTCTGCTGTGCACGCTCTAACATACCAGTTCGAACTACACCTGAAGCGAGCTATTGCAGCTGAGTCCTCATCTCGCGAAGCTCACGCCGAGCTGAATCTAGCCTATAACAAAATCAACCAGTTGAAGAACGATGCACGGGCTCAGAAGGAGCTGATATCACTGCTGATGTTCGAGAAGGAGGAGCTTGCGAGGGAGAAAGCGGCACTGAAGTGGGAGGTGGAGAACCTCGAGGCCCATGTCAAGGAGCGAACATAAATACTCCTCCAAGCAGTGGAAGAGGCCAAGGCCAAAGCCGTTGAGGAATACAAGACCTCGGAGGAGTTCCACGGAGAGCTGATCGAGGCAGGGACGAAAGGCTACCATAAGAGCTTTAAGCTTAGCAGGTGGCTGACCCGATGTGAATTTCCGCAGCTCGAACTAAGCACCATCACCACCTCAAGGGTCATAGATGAGATGGCTATTGAAGTTGTCGAAGATCCGAACTCCAAGGCGGAAAGTGACAGCGAGCTGCTCATCGACATTGAAGAGACCGGTGCTAACGAGAGGGTGAACCTTCCTGCCGAAGCCTCGGGCAAGGGCGAAGAGCTTCCAAATGAATAGACTTCCATATTGTATACCCCGGGCCTGCGAGCTCGGTCTATAGTAGAAATCTTTTTTTTTTTTTTTGTAGAGAACTCCTCATATTAATGAAATACACTTGTCTTTTTGTCAAATGTTCCAAGTGCAAATAACTCCCTAACTGGCGATCTAACTAAATAGGTATAGGTTACCCCGAACCGTTGAGCTACCGAGCTGGACTACTAGTAGGGGTAACTTCGCATGATGTACGCCGAGGTGCGTGGACATTGTAGGGCATATACTCGACCTGTCTGCGCGCGGGCTACTTGGTAATGTTAGTTGTCCCTTTGCTGGGGTTCAACTTTTTCATTATATGCCAAAGTGGGCTAGACATCGTAGGGTTTATACCCGAGATATCTATACCTTAGACATGGGGAGATGAGTTGTCTATGCCGAAGAGGCAATTAGGTCTTGTCTGCCCATGCCGAGGAGGCGACTGAGACTTGTA